TACCGTGATTTATTTGAGCTCAAATCAACCCCCCCCCCTTCCCCCGCCGTTCGCTTTGCTCTGAAAATCATGAAGGAGACATTAGAAACTACAGATTGGTCGCTATATCGACAAAACTGCAACTGGAACTGTGAATGGAAAGAAGTGAAGGGGACAAAAGAAAGACGAACAAAAAGATTCCAGAAATAAGGACATGTCATAAAAGGCTGGTTGCCTTCTGTTTCTTCATGATACCAATAACTTCTATATCAGTGACAACGGAAGTACAGAAACTTTCTATTTCTTCAAGAGATCGGATAAACAAAGGGAAACGCCAGTTGATGAAGCCCTCTTCAAGTAAAAATTAAACTCTTCAATAATTTCCTACTTATCGCTGCATTCAAATAACTCGAATCTGCAACATTTTTCAAAAAATCATTGGCAACGCGCATCAAGTGGACCGCTTCGTACGTTTTTGCGCTATTTCGTGCTGTAGCAAGGTCGCTTGGAATCCCAGTAGCTAGAATTGTGATATACTGGTCCTCGAAGTTCAGGAGGTTAATTGTGCAGCTATGTGGTGTGTCAACTGCTAATGTCAGCTTCAATAGTCCGATAAACAGAAAGTTGCTGGTGAGCGAAAAAGACTGTAAACAGGAGTATCAATCACTTCTTGTAAGTACTGCCTTTTGCTGCAGCGGAAGCGAATATTGCTAGTTTTATGCTACAATGCAAATTTACATATTCATGGGAAACAAAGCTCGTATGCATAGTACGATGTGAAGTGTAGGAGCATGAAATGAAGTTTTCCCTGCTAGTGAATTGATAGCTGAAATCAGCTCGGTGCATCTGCGAGGAACTGGCATAAACGAGGACCAAATTTACATACCTCGAACTATAACGGGACTAGTAACCATCACGTAAAAATTCAGCAGCTCAGCAAATGCTTAGAAGGTAAAGACTGTCCAAAGCAAGTAACATTTGATGTATCCAAGTAAAAAACTTGGCCAGGGGACACACTGGCAAAATTTCAGTATCAAAGCTTGCATGGTTGCTGAATAGAAATACCCGGACAGACGAACACAAACCTTACATACAAACACTCAGACATACACAGACAGGATCGTTGCAGAATGCGTTTTTGCTGCCTGATGCAGCACTTTAGCGCTTCACGACAAAAACGCATAACAAGGACGCCAGAAGCTGGTTACCTCCGCCAAACTCTGCGACGATAAGTTTTTGGTACACCCGTTCTGACCAAATTTTTCAGTTCGGCGCTCGGCTTCAAAGTACGCGTCGCTGAATTTACAAGGAAACTATCCCATTTCTGTAGCCAGTCAATGTATTGCGGGCTCTGTTCCTGAAATGCAAACAAGCTGATCAGGATTCTATCAGAAACCACAGCCGAAACTGAAAAGATGATTGTGGCTGTAGAAAATTTTGGATTCTAACCAGTTCTTGCTGTCCAACAATCTCATCACTTTTACTCTTCAGTTCGGCGGCCACCTCAAACATATCTGAACGCTGCATTTGGTGGCGTCGCCTGTCGTCATTCAAATAAAATCCCAACGAATCCATTAGCCGTGCTGCAAAAAAAAGTGCTGATGTAAAAGGAAGGTTTAGCTTTCGCGTAGCGGCAAATATGCTAGAAGATAGCGATCGGAATAGCGCAAACACTAAAAAATTTATGAAAATTTCTTTACTTAATATACATGACTAACATCGTCCCGATCTGTAGCAGTGAAGCTTCAGTGTTAGTGCGATAACAGTCCTATGCCACATGTAACAGTCCTATGTTCCAAGCCGTAAATCTCGAATTTATACCCGCCCTATCTACTTATGCAAGCCTTCTATCTTTTCCCGTTCCCGAGTTATCAATTTTCCCACCAAGACTTACCCCCTCTCGTAAGCAGGGCCCAGACGTGCGTGGGGGATGGTACCGCGGTTCTGGGGTGGTACTTGGCCGGGCAAATCGCTATAGAAGCCAATCTTGTAGCGTCTTATCTTCTCCCGGAAGTTCCTGACTGAAATGCAATTTCCACTATTAACAAAATAGCATGCTGTGCGTTTCAGTATGCTGCTGAGAATAGCGCAACAGTGAACAATCTACTGCCATTCTGAAAGTCGAGATCGAAATAGAAAGGGTAGAAGGGGCCATGGAGGCCCAATTAAGAAGTGACCATTTTAAGTAGGAATCGAACCGTCCAGTTATACAACCAAAGTTCCTACAACGTTGCCTCCTCATAATTTACATAGAATTACTATCCGTCTCATACGTTAGTTTCCTCTTCTTCCATCTAATTCATCACTTTTATTACTTTCATGCTATTACACTTTCTCTTCTCTTTCACTTATCCTTCTTGCAAATTAGTTGCATGTCCTTTCAATACATGGCGCGGGTAGGAGGCTGTACTGACGATTCCCACTCCTACCCGCATGCATTGTTCGGTCTGTGTATACAGCTTAGGGATGAAACACAGACAGACTGCACTGTGAAATGTCTTCTTATACATGACACCTAATTTCAATCTTCTTACTCCGCAGTTCATTCAATCTAATGCTAAATTTTCAGAAGTTGTCAAAATGCTTGCTTGTAAGCAGTTTTCGAGAGCGAAGGTCGCCATCTCTACCATCAGGTGGTTGCGGATGCTTGCAAATATTTCCTTCTCTCAGACAGAATGAATACGAGGAGAGTTTTGAACTTTGACGCTAAAACACGCGTAAATGCGTACTTTCAACTTTATCATTGCTTAGCGTCCGTCTGTTGGTCGTCCAATTGGTCTCATCAATCAGTGCTTCAATAACACCGGGTTCCAAAACTGCAAAGTTTTCAGATTATACAACAATGCTTGCCGATTCATTTAAACTAAAAAGAAGGCATTATCATAAATACAAAG